ACTGGTCGGCTGCAATACGGTCAGCGGTCGGCAGGGTTGCAATCCTGTTTGTTGTCCTCTTTTTGTCTGTTCAGGCGTTGTTTCGGACTTGCAGTTCGTCCGAACAGACGTTTGGTCTGTTCGGACAAAGGCCACGTTTTGGGCCTTCTTCGTTCACAGGCAGGCCCTTTTGGGCCAGGTTCGTGCTCGTCTGGTAGTGGACACTCCCTGCTGCATCAGCAAGGAGGGCCTGGACGTCCGGTAGGGACCCAGGCAGGCCGTTTCAGGCCAGAGGCACACCAGCGAGGCCCAGCGCCACATATAGCTGGGCCAAGCCAGGGCAGACAGACAGTTCGAGTAGCTCACTTCTTGGGCGCCACAGTGCTGGAGCAGCACGACACAGCGCTGAGCTAAGGTGTGGAGGCGTAGGTACGAGGTGAGGTGGAGGCCATACCTGCTGAGGCTGTACTTACCTGGGCGCCATAGCTGGACTCCACGCCAGCGACCTGCACAGAGAGAGGCGCCGGCAGCAGTTAGTACATGGCGGTAGTTACCTGCAGGTGAGACAGCGAGGAGGACGACACCTCCTTCTTAGTCTCGCCCTCCATCTCTTCTTCCTCCTTCCTCCTTCCTCCTTCCTTCTTCTTCTTGTTCTTCTTCTCCTTCTTCTTTCAGAGAGAGAGAGAGAGAGAGAGAGAGAGAGAGAGAGAGAGAGAGAGAGAGAGAGAGAGAGAGAGAGAGAGAGAGAGAGAGGTTACAGGCGGAGGTTACATCGGGCCATGAGGCCCAGGATATGATTCGACATTTTGTGGCAGCCATTGATTGGACATTCGGCAGAGAGACTATTTTTGGACTTCGCTATCGCGATCTTGGTCTTCTCCCTCACCTCCGTCCTCGTCTCGCCTTCCCCCATCTCCTCATCCGTGGTATCTCCCCATGTGCGTGCGCAAGGAGGACCTTTCTTCCATGTATGCGGTCCCTCCCCACTCTCTCACATGTGTGGTGTATGATGGGGTGTCGCGTCAGTATCTGATAGGTCAGGTCATATCATTGAGTCTTCCGTTGCGCTACATTATGCTATTTTCGTATGTATCTGGATGCACATTGCTTGTTGATGCTTTGCTGATGCTGCATTGTCCATTCGAGTCCTTTTCATCACTTCGCGGATCCTTGGCTCCATATGCATCTCTCGATTGAGCATTTATCAAGTAGGCAGCAAGGCAAGAAGGGAGCGAGGCAATGAGGCAGCAAGTCACAAGGCAGCACTGACAAGGCAGCAAAACTACGAGGCCGACAGGCGAGAAGCACGAAAAGACAGCACAAGTGGATAGGAAGCGAAGAAGCAAGGCAGCACCGGAAGGCAGTCCGCTCATACACCAAGGACCAAAGCAGAACATCACCTACTCACACCACAATTAGAACTGGATAGGTTCACATCACCCCCGTGGCCAGGGAGTCACCTTGAGGAATGTCTATCACCACTAGAAAATGCAGAGAGACAGGCGTTCCAAACACAACAGCCCCCCTAATAGCGTTACGGGCACTCCAATCCTGGACATACTGACATTTGGCCTTTCTTAAGCGTACTAAACTTAGGTACCTGGTAACATATGGACAAATGCCAAACCATGCAGCGCTTGGACACTGGAGAGAACACAGAGGGAGACAACAGATGGGCAAACAAGCAAACAATGTGAATGTGTGTGTGTGTGTGTGTGTGTGTGTGTGTGTGTGTGTGTGTGTGTGTGTGTGTGTGTGTGTGTGTGTGTTTCAAGGCAGAGAACAACGGTGTATGTGTGTTAATCCCTTTGTTCACCCTCCCACCAATTTGTTGGAGTGTTTTGTTTTTTCTTTTGGTTAAAGGAGTGCGGTAATTAATTAATTATGTAGTTCCCTAGTTTCCGATCTCGGAGGCGGAGACCTACCTGATGGTGGATTGGTTGGGGATATTGGTCTTGCAGGTGTTTGAGTGGATGAAGAAACAGCCTTGGCATCGACCGAATGCACGAACATACACCAGCTTGATTGGGTTCATGGGCCGCGAAGGAAAGATAGAGCTAGCGGTGAGACTCTTTGAGGACATGCTTGCTGCCAACTGTGAGCCTGATCATTACACTTACACTGCTCTTATCAACGGTTACGGGAAGAGTAGAATGTTTGCCGAAGCCCTGGCAGTGTTCGAGCACATGAAAGAGAGTGCACCTGGCTGCAACCCCAATACTGTGACTTGCAATGCACTCATTGATGCTCTCTGCAAGGGCGGACGGTATGACGAAGCGGAGTCCATTTTCTGGGACATGAGGAAAGGAAAAGGAGGGCTGGGTCCCCACTGTGCTCCAAACGCAGTGACATACAACACTATCATCCGGGCATTATGTAATGAGGGACAGATCAAGGCTGCCGTCGCGATGTTGGAAGAGATGAAACAAGGTGAACTGGGGGGAGAGGACTGTCAACCAAATGTGGTGACGTACAACATACTGGTAAGTTTCGCTTTAGTATAATAATCCCGCACGGATTTCCACGTTTTTCAACAACTTCGTGCATGCATCTTTGGTGGAACACAGTTCCCGGAGCCAAGAAAGAATCAAGCGTAAGCACTTCTCTGAGAACTAAACTTGGTGCCGGATGATGTTCGTGAGCACCCCAGCTCACAGTGCGAGCGATACCACCATCTGGATTATAACTCACTCGCCAGGTTCGCTGGCGTTAACCTGGCAAGTGACTTGTTATACTCCAGCGAACAGGTTTTGCTGGCAACTTTCGCTGCTTTGCGCGCCTACCACCTTTGGTGATCCATGCAGCCCGACGCTCTGGAGCAGCAACCTACTTAACCTTGTCAGTGCATAATGGCCCCCCTTTTTTGGTGGTTGATCCAGGCTAACTCTTCGGAGGAGCACCCTTGTATTCACCACCATGGGGTGTTTTCTCCAGGATAAATCCAGCTGGCTGCACCTCCACATATATCCTCCTGCTCCTCCACATATATCCTCCTGTAGAGCAAGTTGGACTGGGGGATGTCGTGGAGGAGCAGGAGGATAGTGTGGTGTAAGTGTAGTGTAAGACACCTGGTCTGTTCAACATTACTTTTTTCTGAGGGTATAATCGTTTGAATTTGAACGCATGTGGCATTGGGAGCCCAATCCAGGCTTGCATTCCACATCTGTTTGAGGGTAGGCAAGGGGGTTTAAACTTTTAAGTTAAGACTTTAAACTGCAGAGCGGTTTGAGAAGGCAAGGACCCAAAATCACAAAGTGAAAACGGAAGGTTTTCTCTTATGCAGCGATCTCAAGGTCTTTGTTGTTTTGTGGTTCAAAAAGGTGCTAGGAATCTGGGGCCCACTTGGCCCTGGAGCAGCATGACTGGGGGCCTGGAGGCCCCAAGCCAAACCGTAGCCTCCCCGAAAGTTTTATGGGGAAGCTGCAGCCACCTCAGGACACGGAGCCTACCAAGCTTTGATTTTGTCACATTGGTACCCCGTTATGTGTGAAATGACTTTTGAAACCCGTCTTCTTTGCGAGGAATGGGCCAGTAGTGAGCGCTTTTGACTTGACTTGAATGTTTTGACTCTTCCTTCAACACAAATCAAAGTCTACCTTGCTTGAAAGCAGATACGGCACAATGAATGTAAAAGTCTCTGATCCACTAACTTCCCTGTCATCAGGATCTCCTCTACTATTCCAGTGTGCATCTCCCACCAAGATCACAGGTGATGTAGAGCTTCCTTATCATTACTCTTCCTGTGTTCTCGCAGAGATGTCACCTCCATGCTCCACTTGTATGTCGGTTGTAATTAGTGGATCGCAGGTGAGGTGGCCAGGATGGCAACCAGGGTATATATAACCAGGGTGTAACCAGGATGTAACAGGGATGTAACAGGGATGTAACCTGGGCATAACCAATGTGTAACCAGTATGTAATCGAGATGTAATCGGGGTGTAACCAGGGTGTAACAGGGATGTAAACAGGGTGTAACTAGGGTATAACCAGGGTGTAACCAGGGTATCACCATGATGTAACCAGGCTATGACAAGGATGTAACCAGGGTATGACCAGAATGTGACCAGGATGTAATCAGGATGTAACAACCGGGATTGCAAGTAACCGAGATGTGATGGCGATTGCAGGTCTCCTTCACCAAGCTCAGTTGTCATGAACTGCCTCACAGCTTCTTAATCAAATCCTTTGTTCTGTACCCTCTAAAACCTTTCTCCTATTCTCGTATTGAGGCCACCTTTATCATTATTTGCAGATGAGTAAGGGCACTCTGTCCTCTATGTGGATGCAGGGTGCGGGAGAGAGTCCATGTTAGACTAAGTTTTGTTTTGTTCATTGAAATCGCTTGTACATCATATCCAAACGTCTGAGAGGTGTGCGTAACGCTTACGAGTTTGTGATTCCCATTTTTTTTGTACTCTTTTATTCCCGAAAAACGATGCGCCGATCTATTGGCAGGGAGCTGCGCCTGCTGGAAAACGGGTCTAGCATTCGCCTGCTCGGATTGTTTTTTCTTTTCTTTTCCCGCACTCCGTTTTATCCCGAACTTTCGCCTGACACAATTTCAGGGATCTTGGTCTTGGGCAAATCATGTTTGCTTGTTTACCAGAAGCAGAAGCAGTCCTTGCTGCTGTCGCCTTTGGAACTTAGACAAAACCTTCTGGAAAAGGGAAAGAAGTTTCTTAAATGCGGTCTGGGTGATCTCGTAGGCCGAGAAGACCGTCCTCCATCTCTCCTCAAGAATGAGAGCCTCCCATAACTGTAAGCTGTCCAAAAGTTGACTCAAGATAATGTGCCATGGATATATGGATGTTTACTATTTAACCATAGACCTATGTATACAATAGTAGTATCCATGGTTCAGGGTGCAGTCACGCAAGGGCTTTTTTTACCGATCTCTGGATGTAAATTGTGGTCACGTACGTCCAGGACCAACCGTAATTGCAGTCATATACATCCAGGAAAGCCCTACTGTCCTCGCCTGAATAGAACGCCCGGTCATTACAGCTCTATTTGGCAGAACTTTCAGACTGCATACATCAGGGATAATGACCAGGCATTCTATTCGGGTGCAGACGGTAGTGTGAGTGGACACAATCCGTAAGTGGCCCCAGTTTGCACACTGTGTTCCACAATTCTAACACAGCTCCCGTTCTCGCCTATCGTACTCTTTAGAATTGTTTAGATGCAACCTTTAGCAATCCTCCTTGCTTGGAGTTTTAATATCCCGTGAATGTGAAAATGCTAATGCTTTCACCCCCCCATGTACAAGCATGTTTCTGGGCGATGAGCAACTGGACTGCCCCCTCCCCCCCCCAGAATAGATGGGGCATGTGTTGTTATTCATTTATTTTATTTTATTTTTCCTAAACATGCTAATGCTATCTATATATATTGTCACAAACAGAACTGCCCGGTAAAACCGTAGGCAGAGAGAGAGAAGAGGACAACAAACGAGGGGCTGTGACAAACTGTTTCGTCGGAGTATTTTTTTTGTTTGTTTTTCCTTCTTCTGTAAAAGGTTGACGCGTGTGGCAAAGCTGGGATGCACGACAAGGCTCAGCAATTGTTTGACGACATGAAGCAGCGTGGCCTTCAGCCCGACCAGATCACTTACACTGCTCTGCTGGATGCATACGGAAAGGCGGGCATCCATGAACAGGCCGAAAGGACGTTCAAAGAAATGCAATCTGCTGCATGTGTAATGGACGTGCTGGTGTACACAGCCTTGATAGACGCATATGGAAAGTCTGGCTTTCATGAACGTGCGGAGGACCTCTTCTTCAAGATGGAGGTGGCTGGTATACAGCCCAACAAGGTGTGTTGCCATCGCCTTTACTTTTTTTCCTCTGTTTTTCAACATGAACAGTAGTCTTATCAGGGCCCAGTGCCCAAGGCAAAAATACAACATTGCCGCTGCTCCTGTGAACTGCCTGCCCTAAGTTTGGCATCTCCATCTCTATTTTTTTTTAAAGCTATTTTAGTATTTTCCTGTTTTTTGAAAAATTTTAAAGTTTTTTTAACTGCAAGGAAGATGAGCATTAGCGAACTCCAGCAATCAAACAGCATCATACATATGAGTCCAGATAGTCTTGACCTCGAACCAACAGCAGAAATGCATCACGAGATTCACCAAATAAGAACACACCAATAGTTCGTAATTGACAATGCTGAAATAGTCTCTCATCATCATCAACGAAGAACAAGAGTTGATATCCTATTGGCGCTCGGCGCCCAGACTACATGTGGAAGATCCTATCTTGCCTAATACGACAATGCCGATGTTGACAACAACAGCTTCCTGAAGTACGAGCATACAGCGGACAATGCCGCACGCTTCCAGCACCAGGTATGTCTCTCGCAACACTCACAACCCCGATCCACACCACACAGATGCCACTAGCACCCAAGGACCACCCTGCGCCACACCCAGCTCACAGCGGAGCAGCTCGGCTATGGCTGCCCGCTCCTTCCTGCTCGCCCGTGAGAGCGTGAGTGCCAGCCAGCCAGCAAATAGCGCAGCAGCGCTCGCGCAGCATGCAGCCAGCACCCGAATGCCAAATGCGGAGGCAGGCCCATTGCTATATGGAAGTGGCCTGCCCGTGTTCTGCCCAGACAGTGTCTGGCCTTTCCCAAGAAGATTCCGGTAGGCCCCGGTAGGCACAGGCCCAGACCTCACACGCAGGCCCAGGGCCTGATGGTTGCATGTGCCCAACTGCCCTTGGCCTGCTTACGGCCTTCCTCACGCGTCTGGCCCAGGTCAC